TATATAAAACCTAGAAGAATGTATTATAAAAGAAAAATAACTCATATAATCAATAGAAAAATAAGAATTATAAGAAAAATAAAAGCCAATGTAAATGTTGAAATTGTGGAGAGATTGGTCGCATAAGCCCTGATTGTGATAAAAAAAAAAGTCAGAATATTACAAAAAGTATATTTAAAAATAAATGATGAATTAAGTGAAATATCAGATATTGAAAAATACTATGATCAGGAAGTATATATAAGTGAAACAAAAGAAGATGAATCAGGATCTGAATAAAGATATTGAAGAAATAGAAAGTAATAATAAAAATATACAAGAATATGAAGGAATAGAAGGATATGGATTAAAAGTCACTTTTGACAACAATAAGTTTAGAAAACTGCAAAAAATTATCATTAGATTTAAAAATAGGAAAATGGGAAGTCTTTGATAGAATTTGAAAAAGAAAAAGTTAGAATGGTTATAAATTATAAAGAATTAAACAAATATGCTAAATTTGATGGTTACTTTCTAATAAATAAAGAAGTATTAATAAATTTTGCAAGAGGAAAACAATACTATTCTAAATTCGATTGTAAATCAGGATTTTGGCAAGTAAAATAGGAAAATGGGAAGTCTTTGATAGAATTTGAAAAAGAAAAAGAATAACAATAAATGGATATCACGAAATAGAAAAAATCATAGATGTAAGAATAATTTATGGGCAACATAAAATAAATCTTTTAATAAGAAATACATTTAATGAACTATTAATAAAGATTAGTAAAAAACAAAATGAAAAAATCCAATATGTTTATTTAGTAGGAATACAAATAATGTTTAAATCACTATGTACAGAAGGGATAGATTCACCCTTAACTATAACCTTACATGATGGAAGAATAATAAATTTAAAAGATAGTCATTTAGGAATAATAGAAGGGAATTTAGCATATCAAAAAATTATGTTTATATGTTATCCAAAATATTGTGTATCATTAAAAGATAGAAATTTTTATGAAGTTTTAGGACTACATTTCAAGTTTCATAGAGATGATATTATGCAACCAGGTGATCAAATCATGACTATAGAATATAGAGCTTTATATACATTTACCAATTCTAATTATGGGAATATTTATTCCAATAAATCATATATTGAAGTTCATAAAGAATGTAAAGATATTAATAAAATAATAGCACCAAAAAACAAATAAGTTTAATTCCAGAAGAATATGAATTTAGTATAGTAAAAAATAAACCTAAAATAACAGAATTAAATGAAGGAAAATGTTCTAATAACATAACATTTAAAGATGAAAAGTTAATTAAAAGATCAAAAAGTTTTAAAATACCTAATAAAAACCCATTAGAAGAAATCAACAAAATAAAAGAAATAAAATTGTATAGAAATGCTGGAAACATGAAAATAGAAGGAGAATATTATAATGGAAGAGAAAATATAAATGGACCAAATATATTAATAGATACAGGAGCTAGTGAATGTCATATAGCTTCGATTAGAAATAAAGGTTTAATAACTCATAAAACTGAGCCGCATAGATATGTAAATTTTGATGGACAAGTACATATAACATATTTAGAAGTTAAAGTACCAATAAAAATAGGAGGAATGGATCTTATAATACCATATTACATAGATAGAAGTATGTATATAAACCTTCATATACTTTTAGGAATGAGTTTTCTAAATAGATTAGAAGATTATAGTATGAAAAGAGAAGGATTATATATTGTTCATAATGGACAAACTACATTATGTAAAAAGAATTAGATGAATAATCAGATAAATTTTTCATTAGCAGTGTATATATAAATTACTATTGTAGAAACAAATATTACAACCTGTGTTTTAATAGATACAGGAAGTGATATACCAATAATTAAAAGTTTTTTAATAAAATCATGGAATAATAATAATAATATAAAAATAACTGGTGTTACAGGAGAAAATACTCAAATAATTAATAGTCCTGATAAAGTTAATATAATTTTTGGAAGTAAACAAGTAACAATAAACAAAATTTATAAATATGATAAATTAGAATGTGATATATTATTAGAAAATGATTTCATACAACAATTTCAATATTATAAATAAAATAATTATATGATAACATTACAGACACCTTGTGGACACTTATTAAAAATTCCTAGAGAATTTAAACCTTATAGAGTTCAGCCAACCCAGCGTGGTGATAAATGGGAGAAAAAACCAATTCTTAATAATGAAATAAAAAATAAAAGAATCTTATATAAAAAGGTTCTAAAAATAGGAATAGAAATGAATATAGAAAAAAT